CCCCCCCCCCCCCCCCCCCCCGCCCGGTACGCCTATGAAAACAAGACGCAGTTTGAGACTGTAAATTTTCGACTTTATTTCAAAGTCATCTTCAGACAGACTCCATTCTGTCTGATAATGACTTTGAAATAAAGTCGAAAATTTACAGACAGACTTCATTCTGTCTGAAGATGACTTTGAAATAAAGTCGAAAATTTACAGTCTCAAAACTGCGTCTTGTTTTGAATTATATATTGAATTCTCAAGATGTCCTGTATTTTCGGAATTTGTTTTTTACTTTATTTTTTTGATTGTCGGCTGGTCATGGTTTTTTAATAGTATTAGAAGTGAAAATATATTTGGTATACAACCTACCTTGAGTTATAATCACACGTTCCTTACTCAGCCTTGTTTTCCAAGGTGAGTAAAAGTAACCATAATTCAAATATAATACTTCGCTTTCATCTTGCACCTCATGAGCGACCCAGCAGTTGCTTTCATACGACTTAGTTGTGAAGCATTTCCCAGGGGGGAGTACCTTCTTTTTTACCCACTTTCCTTTGTGATCAACCCACACCAGCTGAGCTGTCTTCTTTGAACGGTTAATGAACTTTACTTTAACTTCGACATCATTATGTTTGTCTGAGGAAAGGTCTTCCACACATTCTAATACATAAATATTCATGAACATTGATCATGGCCCGATATATCGCATTTCTTCATATGGCAGTATTTGCATTTTATTATATATTATATCCCTCCATGCATGCGTTTATATGGACTTTATATTTATGTTTATATATCAATTCAGACCTAAAAATGATCTAAATTTGAAATGCTTGTCCAATTGTTTGATATGCGCATTAAAGTATATCACTGCATATGTCGAAATTCTCCTTATGTATTTGAGGTATAGTTGCATGCCTAAACTTACGCCTCGCGTAAAATAAATACGAGCGGGAATAAGGCGAAAGATTCAGAACCTCTGGCAACCAGGGTATCCCTACCAACGAAAGCTTGCTCGTTTGATTGGCACTACCTACACTGGTAAAGATAGTGCTAGTTATTGTTGTTGTTCAGTTATGTGAAACTGACAGATTATAAACTCTGCTGTGAGTGGAGAGCGACCGTATTAAGGTTTGTGTCAGGCTCTATTTGTAAAATAGGTGGACTTCAATGATCTGGTTTCTTGCACTTCATTTGGTGGAATTAACATTAGAATGCTGTTTTTAGGGTTAGTAATCCAAGTGAGTATATAAAGACTTTTATATCACATTTGTGTCGGTTTTCTTTGATCGTCCGAGCTTATATACCTTGAATAAATTATTAGATTAAACTTGTAGACAAAACGCGAGAATTTTTCATTAAAATTTTTTGAAAATATCAAAATATGATAAACCTCCTACTCGGTTTATAACTCTAACTTAAGACCTGACCAGGAACGACTGCGAAAAATGCAGCACAAGGTCCTCTGGTAGGAATTGAACCTACGGCCCTGCGATTCCGGTGTAGCGCTCTAACCAACTGAGCTACAAAGGCCAGCTGTTGAGCTGTAACCGTAAGTTCGTGTATATATAGGATGTGCGGGTTATAATAAATATAATATAATACAATATAATAAATAGTTTAATAAAACGCTTTGCAAGCTTAATTGTGGTTGGACTTCAATGATCTGGTTTCTTGCACTTCACGTGGAATTAATAACTTAAAAACAGGCATTCTAATATTTGTAAGATAGAGCCTGATACTCAGCCTAACGCTCATGCACTCTCATTTGAACCGAGCTCTACTGGCTGGCTGGCTTGCAGGCAGGCAGGCGGACTATCGGTTTCTTACCTGCACCGTTTGTAATCCCTGCTATCACCTTATTATCGCCATCATTCTCTGCCATCACGGTGTACACAGTGTTATTATTGATCATCGCTCTTCTCTTCTTCTTTTTCTTTCCGAGAGCAAAGAACACTTCACCTTCATCCACGTCAAGTTTTTCTTTCTTTCCTTTTTTAATTTTCATCACTTTCTGAGGCTTTCCATGCTCATCAATCTTGCATAACATTAGCTTGGTACCTGCATCGTTCTCAAATGTACATTTGAGTTTTTTTCCTTTATGAGACGATCTTAAACCTGTGAAGGATATATGACTGAAGTGTCACTTTACCACTACCAACCATTGTCACAGACATTGCCATGATCATCCCCATCAATTCATTATCACCATCATCATGACCATCATGACCATCACCATCATCATCACCACCATCGCCATCATCATCATTGATCATCATCATCATCATCGATCATCATCATCATCACCACCATCATTAATATCATGACCATCATCATAATCACCACCACAATCATTATCACCATTCCCACCATTGCCCAAATTTGTTACCATCACCATTGCTACCATCACCATTAGGCGTAAAAAAATACCGGTAGTTCCGGTTCCTGATCGACCCCATTTGTTTCTGCCGACCCTATTATTTTTTCAACACGATTGACCGTGCGACCCTATTTTCTCTGGGTAGTTGTGGGCTACTGTCAAAATTGCATCTGTTGTCACACTAATTATTGAAAAAACCATGAAAAAAATATTTTAAAAAAATTTTATTTCCGACCTACCGGTACTGACCCTAATTTTTTTGCGATATGAAACACAGATATTTTTTTTACGCCTTATCATCTGCACCATCATCATCAGCATCACCACCATCATTATCATCCCCACCATCACCTGATTATAATTACTATCACCAACACTACCATTGCCACCATCAAAATTATCATCACACCTATATAATATTTTGCATTTATGAATTCAAAATAATTGTTCACAAACCTGGATCTCCTGGTTGGCTGTCATCACTTTCATTTCCAGACGACTATAGATTCAGAAAATTAGCTCATTAACCCATAATGCACACTACATGTACTTTGGTATTTTACTTTATCTAATGTCAGATAATCTCACTTGTCAAGGTACCGGTACAAGCAACTGTTATATTTTAACCAATTCAATTGAGCACCAGCACTCTTCCCTTGACAAGTAAAACCATCTGGCATTAGACCAAGCAAAATAATCTGATGTTAGAAAGAGTAAAGTAATAAAGTATGCCACACTAGGGTGCAATGCATTATAATCAATAAGAGGTTGCCCTTGACAACTAAAATTGTGTGGTGTTCAACCATTACAGCAAAAAACGTACTTGACCATAAAACTTACTTTTTTGAAGCCAGCCTGGTGAGGATACCCCGGAGCACCGCCAGGATAGGGTGCACCACCTGCAGGGTACCCTGCACCAGGTGGTGGCATGCCATAGGGTGATCCATAACCAGGGTGTCCAGGAGGGGGTGCACCATATCCGTGGGGAGGTGCTCCATAACCGGGTTGGCCGGGAGGAGGTGCTCCATAACCAGGCTGTCCTGGAGGGGGTGCACCATATCCATAGGGAGGTGCACCATAACCAGGTTGGCCGGGGGGAGGTGCTCCATAACCAGGTTGTCCAGGAGGGGGAGCATAACCAGGGGGAGGCACTCCATAACCAGGTTGACCTACAGGAGGATATCCCTATAAAAATGATTAATTTAATTTAAAATAATCGTTTGCAAAATTATCAGCTAGAATGAACGCTGGATTAGCGCTAACCCTGGATTAAAAGTTAACCTGAAGTTTTAGTTTGTGTATCTCTGCACATTTGTTTATTATAAAACCTCAGAAAAGAAAACTCCTATTGATCAACTCAAGATTTCTGAAGCAAGGCTGGTGAGAGCCAACCGCGGGCCTGGGACAAAATGACGATTGGTGAACACAGGCCCCCTGTCCCTCTCGACTCTCCCGCTGGCTATTTTTAATCGCAATCAACGAGAGAATTGCCAGTGAATTGCAAGAAGTCGCTGCATAACTGATAAAAACGCAATGTGCACGATGTTCAGCTAATTGTTTTAATTTGCTGAGAAAACAATCGAAAAATCGTTTATTTCACATTTGGTACATTTTACGATCAATGACGACACTCAGCAGATAGTGTGCAAGTAGGTGCATTTCATTTAGGACAAACATAAAGCGATAATAGACAATACAAACATTTTACCAAGATTTCCGGGCCCCTCTGAGCACTCCGGGTCCCAGGTATTTTGTCCCCCCTCTCGCCGGCCTTGTTCTGAAGAAATATTTCCAATTTGATAAACAAGCTAGCTGTTGGCAAGTTTGAATTTTAGGTTAACCTAGGGTTACTAGTAAGCTAACTGGCTTTTGACCAAAACCTGCCCCTGATGTACAGAGCTTAAGCAAGTGATGTTCTTGACAACAATGACGCAAAGTTAACTGAAATCAACGAACAGCAACTTGACAACGATGGCGAGTTAAAATCAAGAACATCAGTCAACAAAGTTTCATGTTTATGATTTCAAACAAGGATGGCTGTCACCACCATACGTTCACCATCTATAACGGCTCGATTGACTTCCGGTCAGCATCCATGTTTTCAAAAACATCACTGGCTTAATTTAAGCTCTCTAATACGTCATCTTGACAAACAATAATTACGCATGCGATGCAACCATCCTTGGACGAGAATGTCGATAAAATTTAAAAGTAATGTAAAATCATACCATAGGTGGGGGATAGGCACTTTGTGATGGATGCGGAACTGATGGTCCTTGACCAGGGGGGTAGGCATGTCCTTGATTTTCACTCATCCTTCCTAGATTAAAAATGAGGTTATCTCACTATCCCACTGGATATGATATCCAGTACCAGAGTGGATACTAATCATACTATCAAGCAAAAGAGTGTCCCCCCCCTGGACACTACCTGCTAGCAGAATGTGTCAGCTAGCTGATAGTGTCTATCTGGACGCTATCTGCAATGCAGATAATGTCCTTCCTCGCATATTCTGTTCCCCTTGAAAACTACATTACATTCATTGAAGGACATGGAAATGAGAAAAGTAGTACAGACAACACTTTTTAAGCTTTTCGTAACATTGTTTGTTTTGATGCAGCAGATAGCGAAGCAATTATCAGAGTGAGTAGACTTTTAATTAATTCATTAAGTTCCATTGTGCCCTAGTGCATTCTTATTTTACATTGTGTCTTAATTAGTCCTTATTTTATTCTGTATAATGCCAGACGATTTTATCTTATCATGGGAAGAGCCTTGGCACTCAATGTGTTAATTTATTTGTTCCTGCAAAGGTAAACAGTGCTGACATTGACATTTGCCAAAGCCCACCTAGCACCTGGTTAATATAGCATTGTATTACCTTGCCTCTTTCTTTAATCCTGTTAAACCCCACCCTATTTATTCATGACAACTTCAATTCATTAATCAGACCATCCCAAGTCAAAAATAAAAGAGAATTTCAAGTTTGTTTGACTGTTTTTATTAATAAACAGTGGTATATATATATAAGTAGGGGGCTCGTCAATTCATTTGATCCAGTTACTGCCTCTTTCCGTTAACAACACTTTTAGCTAAACAACAATTAATCGAAACGTTTCGTGTTCAAATATACATAAATACAAAGTAACACTACAGAATTAATTGTGGTTGAATCATGCAATAGTACGTTATCACAGGAAAAGCAAACACAACACAAGTTCTAGTATTTACTTGCAGAAATTTGCGAAAATTCAACGCTTTTACACCAAGGATAACAACAAAATATTAGATAATTCTATTACAATGTGTTTTATATAAAAACTGGTTTATGTGGAAAAATTGCCAAAAACTTACCGTGGCTGAAACTCGAGTACAGAGTAACCCTTTTCCGTATAGCTAGCTTTTTGTCTGCGCAGAGGTTAGCTTTATATGCGAATGTAAACAATCATTACGTCATACTATTAAATGAAATGTCCTAGGAGCGGACCATTAGAAATCCCGGGAGGGGGGGGGTGAAAATTCCCCAAAAAAAATTCGTGCAAAGAAAAATGCCTGGAAAAAAAATTCGTGCAGCCATTACGTCAGAGAAAAAAAATTCGTGCAAGCAAACAGCAAAGTACAAGTAGTCTTGAAAAAAAATTCGTGCAGAGGTTAAATGCATTAAAAAAAATTCCTGCAGAGACATGAGACTGAAAAAAATTCGTGCCGCAAAAATTTTATACCCCCCTCCCGGGATTTCTAATGGTCCGCCCCTAATTTGAAGAATTCCTGAATTCCTAATGACGCGCGATGTAGACTACACAACTTTTACCAAAACTGTACTGTGTAAATCAAGCACACAACTTACCTACGACAACGTAGGCTACACGGGTAAAAATTGATCAGGTTGTTCGGCGTTGTTCAAACAGGAGTGAACAATGTTGTGCTGCACCCCGTGAACAATATTGTTAACAAGTTGTTGAACCATCAGTACTGTTGCAAGTTGTTAACATGATTGTCAACAAGTTGCAACAATGTTGATGGTTCAACAACCTGTTAACAATATTGTTCACGGGGTGCAGCACAACATTGTTCGCTCCTGTTTTGAACAACTTGCATCAACATGATGATTTTTACGCGTCTAGTTGGTTTACACAGTACAACTCTAAATCGACCTTACTAGAAAAAATGGCTGTGCATTAAATCACATGAAACAAAATGTTTGTTTTCTCCCAAAAAGTCATAACATTTTATATCTCAAGCCCACAAGACGCCATTCCACCTATAATCATTAGCCTCAACTAATTGCCAACTAAATTACCCCTAATTGCCCAACTAATTACCCTAATTAAATTGCCCAACTAATTACCCTAATTGCCCAACTCTGATCATTGTCCTAATCCAACCCAACCCTGACACTAATCCTTACAAGTTCCAACTTGGTTTCAACCGTTTTCTCAAAAAAGAAACTTGCCCAGCAACACACAAGGTATTGACTAAATATAATTATTTTCTAATAAATACACAAATACAATTAACTACTACAGTATTTGCTAATGATTGACTATTTGTAACATATTTAAAGATTATAGTTACATCAGATGCTCAAACACTACATTCTAATTAGCCTGCATAGCAGCCAGGGGTTTTGTTTGGGGGGGAGGAGACTTGCAGGCAGGAAAATTAGGGTTGGGTCATTCTTTCCGCCCGTGTGCCATTCTCTAATTTTCCAATCTGTATGTCCTTCTTCAAAAAACCATCTGCTACCCAGGCTACATTCTAATAAATAATATTATTTTACAAGGTTATCTATAAATGTCCATCATAATGACATAATACCTAATTCTAAAACAATTCACACTAAAGATTATTAATAAAATTATAAATAGTTCTACTTGAGATTAACCCCTGCTATATTGATTGTTATGTACCCTCTGAAGGTTGGGGGTACTTATTGGATTGGGGGGGGGGGGCTCAGTGCAAGTTGGCCCCCAACACCCTGCTAATAGTTCTTACACCAAAACTTTGCCCATGGTATCAAATGGCAATGAGAGTGCAGCTAGGAATCCAATAACCAAAGAAAACACAAAGAAAAACTTTGTCGCTTGAAACGAGATGTGAAATAATGCCTCGGCAATAAAAGGTGCAGTGAGCATCCCAATGCGGCCAAAGACATAACCCGAACCCATACCCATTGCTCGAATAGATGTTGGGTAAGCTTCAGGTGTGTAAACAAAAACAACGGCTGAATAACCAACAAGGATACATCGAATTACCATAAGGAGAACTGTAGCACCGGTACGATTGAGGCACAAGAATAACAGACTCTGGCAACCAATTGCAACAAATGCATTCACATACATTGTCCGTTTCCGGCCAAGCCAATCAATAAGCAACACGGTCATGATAACACCTGGGAATTCTCCAGCTGATGTCCAAATAATGTCAATGTAGTCCTTTCTGTTGAAAACTTTACACTTGCATATTTTTTCCCCTTCGGTTTCATGGCATATGTTATCATCATAGCGATCAAATATCTCTGTTGTCACATAGACAGAGGAATAATACATCATGATGCTTATAAACCAAATTAACCATAATGTGACTGTCATTCGGAAGTAGCCTGAGCGAACCACATCTATTAGGCTACCTCGTTTCTTTACAGCCGATACTGGGGTGACGGTGAGGTTACCCGGGGGCAAGCATGAGCCATTTGCCTTTGCAATGTGTTTAAGCATCTCCAATGCTTTGTCGCCCTGACCCGAGACAGCATAGAACCGGAATGATTCAGGCATCCAATAGAATGACCATAAAAATAGGAGCCCCGGCACACACAATGCAGCGAGCAAGACTCGGAAGCCGTAATCAATCATCAACCAAAGTGACAAGGATGCTGCAAATATAAAACCAATTGACCAGAAAACTGTGATGAATGTTAGAACCTTCCCACGAGCCTTTGCCGGAGTATACTCTGCTAGGATGGTCGAAACTTGTGGCAAGGAACCGATGCCGACACCAACCAGAAATCGAAGAAATAGCAACCATCGGTAATTTGGTGAAAAAGTGCTGAGAAATGCAAAATATATAAACCAGACCGAACTGATGTATAGACCCTTCTTGCGACCATAGACATCACAAACCCAACCCCATACTGGCGATGATATCATCATACCCAGAGAAGTCAAAATTGGTAGCAATGTCTCTTCGTAATAGCTTAGACCCCAGTGACATCTAAGGTAGGGTGCTAGCACTGACATTACAAATATCTCCATGCCTTCGACCATCCACACTAACCCCAACACTAGTACAAGTTTAATATGGAATATACCAAATCCTATGTAAGTTATGGCGTCGTCTGGAGTGAACGTCGGGCCTGATGATTCTAAATTTTCCTCGCTGGTCAATCCTTCGAGTTCAACAGTTTCGTGAGGTAGCGATGTGTATCTTGCTCCAACGTCGTCGGTAGGTGAACGAGCTCGGCCAAGACGGTTATTAAATCGGTCCACAATTCGAGACATCATCGCTCACTTTTGTATGAATTGTTCTCCTCAAAATGCACAAAGACTTTAACGAGGAAAAGTATGTAAACAAATGTCATTCATTCACGAAGCTTTAAAAGTCTTGAAGCTTTGAAAATTGTTTGCCTTAGTTTTAAAACTCGTTATTTTTTCTTTCATTGTGTTATTAGATTCCCATGTTTTCTAAAAGACGAGAATTTGAGTTTCCGTGTGCCACGTCGCTTTAAAAGAAATGTAATTAAACCTGATATTGTATTGAACCTTTTGAGATAAACAGTTCCTTTTAGCATATTAAAAACGATTATGAATATATAATGACATAAATACATAATTGGAATTTTTATATACAATGAATGTTTATATTTATATCAGACAAATTGTTCAACATGTCAAAATGCTACAATACAAGATCGAAGACTGAGTGTGACTGAGTGCAAACAATATTCGCCAAATATAGGTAAAATTTTAATTTGCTACTTGAAATCCAAGAAAAATGCGCGAAATCTAGCAAAATTGGCGGGAAAGAGAAAATTGAAATAGCCGATTGATTTCGAACTAGCCTGCGAACAGGCTGTTCGCAGGTTAATTTCGAACGAAAAATACTATTTCAATTCAGGATTCTGGTTTTCAAAAATTTTCTGCGCAATATTCCTTCTATAGCCCATAGTATATTCCAAGATTTAGCCATTAGGTTATGTTAGGATTATGGTAGAATTAGGATAAAAATTAGGATAAGTATGTGAATTAGGATTGTAAAGATTAGGAATTGTTTTAAGGGTCGATATCGCAGAAATTCAGCGAATTTTGTAGAGAATTTTTCACTAATTTCAAAGGTAGTTCCAATCAGGTTTCAGATATCAGTCTCAAGTCACTTTCCATCAGTCATAAGCTCACAATTTTGCACAAGCCAAAATAAAACAGAATGTACCCTTATCTCGTGTTAACCAGCTACTTACCTCTTAGTGCTAGTCTAATTAAGAGGGTGTTTGATTTAGGCTTGACAACATCGTAACAGCCAACTTGGAGACTGCACGAAGTAAGCGACTGGATGGAATCAGACCTTTTACATAATTCATCATTAACCTGGAAGAACTGAGATGAAGACCTATTTTGTGCAAAAATCTACTACACTGTAAATTTAGAATTAGTTAACTCGCTTTACCTCAACATTACAAACACTAAATAATTCACTACATAAACTAGAATTTATTTTTACTGATTGTTTTATACCAATTTCATTTCAAATACATGTATTAACGAAACAACTTTATAAGCTATTAAAAGGTCTGTTCGAATGTTTTAAAAAATTCATATTGGAACATTTAACACAATGAAATCACTCCCTTAGTAAACTCTTAGTGAAATGATTCACCTCATATTTTTCATGCAATAGACTAAAGTGCTGACAAGTTGGTTTATTCTAGCAACAACTAGAGTCGTTGCGGGATTGTAGGTGAAGAAGAGAATGGTTCCAAAATTTGGAACACACGAGCAAACCATTCATCTTCGATTCCGACGTTTGTTGACAGGTTCGTACCGAAAGAGATTATCAGCATCTCTATCCTCTACGTCTTGTTGATTCATCTAAAAATAAAATATAAAATACGTATTACAACTGTGTACACGTAAAAATCTCACAACTTGTCAACAAGATGTGCTCGCAACAGGCATGTAGCAAGCTTGCCAACAAGTTGTAACAATGCTGTTATTTTATCAAGTTGCTACAAGGTTGTCACTCACAACTTGTTGACAAACTGTTAAATTGTAGGACGATAACAAGTTGTTGGAACAACTTGTAACAAGACTATTGAGCTCAACAACCTTGTAGCAAGTTGTCAACAAGTCGTTGACAACTTGTCAACAAGCTGGGAACAAGCAGTGCGAACACATCCTGTTGACAAGTTGTTGGGACAGCATTGCTACAAGTCTGTTGCAGGTTTGTTACAACTTGTGCGTTTTTACGTGTGTCGTATCAACTACACTATCTATTTTTAAGCCAACAACATGAACAAAGCAACCTTACTTTTAGAACGATTCGAGAAAGCCTAGAATCCAACATGGCTGCAGAATTTAGGAAGTCAAGGAGTGACGCAGCCTCCATAGTCTAAGGGGCCAACTCCTTTTTCGAAATGTTGCGCTTCAAAACGTTGTTGAATTAAGAATTCTGGGGTTACAGGCCAATTTCAAAAAGCATGTGGAGGAGTGGAGCTAAATATCTAAACTGGACGTTCTGGCTAACAACTTTAAAAATCATGAAGCCAGTACTATCTAAGGCTAGCTGTGCCAGCTGACTCCATTTTGAAGATTGGCAACCTACACAAAAATAACATCTGAAGGCATGGAATCCGAGAAGTTTATATCATGGAACTATTCAAGATTATCACTACCACAAGCTTGGCCCTTGAATCTAGCCGCCGAGGACTGTCCCTAGAACACTACCATAGCTCCCTTCGTGATGACGAACTGTGCCTCGATGGACTGTCGTACCTCGCTCTATGACAAGCGCCCACATCTCCCTTTCAGTAAATCAAGCAGCCAGCAGCATAAATTACGGATGTTCACCGCTTTCCTGTTATAGTAACGTAATCGTAGTAGTCATCGTACTTACAGCTTGAACCTCCACCATCCAATCTTCTACATTTCCACTTCTCGAGGAGAACACAACAAGATCACGGCCACCGATAATCCTTGGCAGACCACTCTCATCACCAGCGTAGTTTTGCTGTGAAAAATTTGATGAAGAATCATCCATTATTGAAGGGGCACTCTGAGTACCTGCGCTGTTTGATAAAGTCAAACTGGAAGCACTCTTCTCACATACAACTGAGGTAAAATTATAATCAGACAACTATATATTTCAGGAATCGTGCCTCTGTCACAAAAGTGAAAGACACATAGATTAACCACTGTTCCATCAATACACTACCTTTCTGAATCTCTTCATGTTTTTCAAAGTTGTACTAAACTTCTTCTGTGATGGTTGAGTCTTACGACCGACACTTCTGGTCACCACTAACTCTATGTGTTCCACACACATGAGATCACTGGGAAGTTCTGAATTTTCTTCTTTCTTTACGGCTATTTCTTCAGGAGGCTAAAAGCAGAGCAAACGTTCGACATCAATCTCGTTTATTTTAGAATATCCACTACAGTAAAATTACAAGGTAGTGCTGAGCGCTATGTCACATTTACTGTGCTGCGGAAAATTTATCAAGAAGGCCGTGATCTTAGTGAAATTATTTTCATGTTCAACAGGGATGCATTCAGCTTGTTCTGGTAGGAGATCAAAAGGCTACGCTGGTGTTAGGCAACTAAGAAAATAAGGTTGCCTAATTTTTCAGAAACGCCTCCCGAATCTCACTGGCAAATCTATCCCTGAGGTTAGATATTTAGAGAGGTTCGGATGTGATTTCGTGGGGGGGGGGGCACAAGGGGGCTGGGCATTTGTTCCCCCAGCTTGTATGTTAAAAAAGGCCCTGACGTCTCTTACTACACACCTGATTGGTTGATCGGATATATCAAACGCATATGATTGGCTAATGGTTCCTTAATGGTAACGGTAGTGGACGTCAAATCTGAACCTCGCTAATATTGATAGCAACCCTACCGTGTGTTGCTCTTGGTTTGATAAAAATCCTTGACTTTCTTGAAAACCCCTCCTAGAACTTGGTTCACCTAAATCTTCGATAGCACCGTCAATATTTGTCCTGTTCTCACTCTGATTCATTTCTGACTTCTCTTTCTTCATACTAAACGATTTCTTTGACATCCAGCCAGAACCTGGTGGGGAAACACTTGACTTGATGCTAGACAAATTCTGAACAGAAGTTCGATGATCTGAGAAACCCGTACTAGCAATATTCTCAACACAAGTTGATATAGAGTCATGGAGGTTTACTTGTCCAGTCCTGGGTGAACTTACACTGCTTGAACGCTGTGGTTCTACGTTAACTGATCGTTCAGTATCAAAGACATGAGTCAAATCTGGTGAACTTATCTTCCGCCTTTTTGACGTAAAAGAGATTTCTGGAGAAGGTGTTTCTTTAACTTTCACCTGTATCGGAGAGGTCTGGCTTTCAGGAATAACAGTATCTTCTTCCTCAGAGGCATTTCGTTTAGGTCTTTGATTGTTGTTTAATGCAGTACCAGATTGTTTCACCTGTGACTTCTGGCTTTGTGGAGTATGGGTTATTTCGCGTGGATTCTTTTCATTTGGTTTTTCCGTAGGTGATTTTTCCTCCTTTTGAGAGAGTTGAGATTGCGACACATGCGTTACATCAGCGTTCGAGCGAGTCAATCTTAATTTCTTTCCACCCGGGCTACTCATTGGGCTACCTTTCGGTTTTTCTTCGCGTTGTGATTCTTGGCTTTGGGAAATATGGGTTACATCAGCGTTTGAGCGAGTCAATCTTAATTTCTTTCCACCCGGGCTGTTCATTGGGCTACCTTTCGGTTTTTCTTCGCGTTGCGATTCTTGGCTTTGGAAAATATGGGTTACATCAGCGTTTGAGCGAGTCAATCTTAATTTCTTTCCACCCGGGCTGTTCATTGGGCTACCTGTCGGTTTTTCTTCGCGTTGCGGTTCTTGGCTTTGAGAAATATGGGTTACATCAGCGTTCGAGCGAGTCAATCTTAATTTCTTTCCACCCGGGCTACCTTTCGGTTTTTCTTCATGTTGCGATTCTTGGCTTTGGAAAATATCGTTTTTAGGTGTAGCTTTACGTTTTTGGCCAACGACGGGGCTTTCTGAATGATCTTCTAACTGATAGTTTTCGCTCTGCGAGATATGCGTTATATCTGTTTTGGAAATGGAGAGGATTTCACGAGATTCCCGGTCAGTCGGGGACGTACGCTGTTGTTTTGGGGTCGGTGATAGTCCTTTTGGGACACCAGGAGTTTTAAATTCTGATTCTGGTGTTTGTGAGACATGGGTGACGTCCGTTGGTGATATCTTTCGACGTTTAGATTCCACGTTACTGGATTGCGGAGTCTCAAAGGCAAACGGTTGGGACTCGACGGAACCATGGCGAGATCTGAAAAGGAAGATTTTCAATAATAATTAAAACTAAACTAACCTGTATACTGGATAGCACTATCAGTTCTAAACTGTTCCTAGAAATCGAGTAACGATACTCCCTTACTGGTCCAGTGTTACTATATGAGCAAACTGGAGACAACCAGCAATGTTTAGTAGAGTCAAACTGGAAGCACTCTTTCTTTCATGTAGCATCGCAGGAACACCTCGAACCTCCCGCTAAAGAAGTGAAGGGTATTACACTATAAACTATAGGACACCCCCACCAAAATGGAAGTCTGTTTCTCAACACTGGTATTATTCTTGTCAGATCACACACCTCTTTCTGGTGTCCTGAGGAGTAGTTACTGTCGTGCTTGGTTTAGGATGATCACTTCTGAGCGAAAATGGTTTCTAAAGGGTAATTGATGTAAGGAATTACTATGAAAAATACTTGAGATTCTTGAATAGTGAAACTTTAATTTGGAGAATTATCAAGTAATAGGCAAACGACCTTTTCAGGAATTTGGCTTATGGAGACATTCTGTGATTCATTCATTCTTTGTGACATTTCTTCCATAGTACTAATGCTCTTGGATACGACTTGTTTCGCGATTCTCGGAACTACAAACAAAAATTATTTTCATCAACCTTTGGTTCTGGAGTGTTAATGTTAAGATTTGTAGATACAATTACGAACCATGATTTACACTGGGATTACAATATTCTTCCAAAGACACGTGAAGTATGGCCAAACCCACTTCAGTCTCCGCAATAGGCCTTCTGTTAACGCTACAAAGAAAAATCCAATAATGTAACTTAATATCCAATCAGACTGGTCAATGTGTGATGACCTATCTACAAGTTTGGTTTATACTGGATAGCTCTAAGGTATGAAAAGGTATTCAGTGATCTGAAACTACGATTTTGGAACAAGGAGCGCAATTGCAAATTCAAACACTACGATTGACTCCGTCATTCCTTAGTCCCAGCTCATCTCATCAATTCAATCATGTTTTATGCTACGTTGGAGATTTCGGATAATCGGTAAATTGATCAATAACTTGGAAAGGTTGCTGGTCATATGGTACCAGCAAAATGTAAGTATGCAGATAGTGACAGTCTAACGTACCTAGCGGTACTTGACCATAAAAACCCCCAGAAGATTCAAGATCCAGACCCACGGTCTGGCAGACCGTAATATTCGCGTACCTCTGGTACGTAAATAGTACGCGAATTATCGCACCCTGTGTGTTTGGTCAACTTGAAGCCAGTGGTGTATTTAGGGGAGGGGTGCAGGGGGGTGCGCACCCCCCCCCCCTCAGGCTCTGGTCAACAGGGGTGCATGGGGGGGGGGGTGCAAAAATGACGTTTATCCTAATTTTAACCAACTTATGTTAAGGAATTCAGTTGGGTATCACTAGTTGACAATAGCGGAATAGCCAATATTAAATATTCTGAATTTTGAAATGTTTTGACAATCTAAAAATTTTCCAGAATGTTTTCTCAGAATGCTGGAAATGCCATTTCAGAGACCCAAATTTTAAAAATTTTCCGGAGGAGTATGCCCCCGGACCCCCATAGAAATCTCGCGCCTTTGGCGCTCGTTTCGCCATTGGTTAGCACTTCCAAAATCCTTTGCTGGATCCACCACTGTTTGAAGCTCTCAACAAAGGTGCATAACGTGCATTAGGCACATGCACTATCCACTCAGCAGTAGGTGACCAACCTTTTCAAAATATCGCCAACGTGACCTATCCATGTTTCTTTCGCCTCTGAAATTCCTGATTTCAAATCCACAGACATAACTAAAGTGTTTTGATCAGTCAACATATTGTCATCATTGCCAGATATGTCACCAGTTTCCTTTAACAACGCTTTGCCACTAGCCAACGTGATTGCATGCTCAAGCCTTTTAAGCTGAAGAGATGACAATACATTGAAACATAAGTAAGGCATATCGGGGAGTATTCCCACTTAAATGGTTAAACTTGCCTGCTTTTTCTCCAGGAACAAAAACAACTTTCCAGCAAAAACAGATTTTCTTCCTTCGTTAGGATGGAATGAGACAACTTTAGGATCAATAAGATCTTCTTTTATTGGAGGCATATACCTGAAAGTGATAACAAAAATCTATCATTCTGAAATAAAGCTAGAGAATTTACAAAACATATATATAAATGAACTTACTTTTCAGGCAATGGTAATTCTAATTTGGAGTCAACAGCTTTAACAAGATCATCAAAGAATGATGGCATCACAATTGGAGAGCAAGTGACAAGAGCATATATCACCTTGACAGTGAAACTGAGTGCCTCCATGACAAGATGTGAACATCCTTTCTGCCATTCATTTACCATATAACCACCTAATGAAATGAAGTAATTCAGTACTGACCACTGCTAACTAACCTTACAGATAGTGATTTTTGTCAACTGTTACAAAAATGCTTGAGAACCTGTAAAATTATGGACATGGTCAATGGTCATGGACTTCACAATGGATGATTCCAGATATGGACAAAATTTTGATACAGACAAGAACGAAATCCAACACCACACGGTAAAAATAACCACTTTCTGCTCAAAAAACGTCCCACGCGTAATACAAATATATACAAAATTTGCGACCTTCACAGAGCTATATTTTCCTCATTTTACAACATTTTGCAACCAAACTTTGCAATTTTACTAATTTTAAGATGCTCTTTCTAGGCGTGGTGTTGGATTTCGTTCTTCTTGCCTTGATCAAAATTTCGTCCATAGCTGGTTATACCAATCAATGGACAATTTTAGGAAGCTTGAAAAAACGCTATCTGGTGGATAGCATTTTCGTACAACCGCCCCCTGTACTTAAGCTTACCCAATTTGCTTAATTGAGATTTCAAATTCTTTTTCTTTGCATTGTCCAAACACGATGCAAACACCACAAGTGGTTCATATTTCAACCTGTGAGGAAATGGTGCATCTTATTTCAAGGGTGTGACAACATGTTCTTTGGGGTAGTAATCATTTCTTTGTAATAATAAGTTATTTATGAAAAGTGCAAAAATCATGTTATTTCAAGAGGGGGGAGAGACAACATGTTATTTCAGGGGGGGGGGAATAATTTTTTTTCAGGGGTGTGTGACAATACGTCACTTGAAGGAATGTATGCAGCAATCATGTTATTGTGGGGTGGATATTCATGATATATTTCAGACCCAAACTTTGTTATTCTGATTTGTACAGTATTACAACGAACATATTAATAACAAGAAATATATTACTGCAGGGGTGTATTGGGGGGGTGGGGGGTGCTTTGGGTTGGATAAAATGGTAGGACTACACCACTGTATTACTGATCAAATAATTCTCTGTATATACCTGTATGAGCTATTCTGTGTCCCAAATGTAATTTTGTCATCATGTTTCACAATGACTTCCACAGAATTTTGACATTTAATACCATTGACTGAACACCCAAACTTTGAAACATCTTTCAATGAAACTTGAGCCTAAAACCAGCAGCAATAAGTTTCTAGTGGATATATAAATTCACTTCATAAAAATGTCTGATTATAAGATGCCAGGTGCAAATTTTCGAGAGGTGGTAGATGGCAGAAATCTATTGCAAGTTTGTTAGCAATTCTTTAATTTTTAATGGACCTTTCCCCTTATAACTAAAATTTTGATCTAGACAAAAATTTCATCACAGCTTGAAAGAGCATCACAAAATTAGTAATATTCCAAAATTTCATTGCGAAATGTTGTAAAATGCGGATAATATAGCCTTTCGAAACTTGCCATTTTTCAGTAATTTTGTATTACAAACGGGAAATTGACAGCCCAATCAGGTGTTGGGGCAGCAATGTCCTGTTTGTACTACAAAATGACTGAAAATTGCAAATTTCGCAGGGCTATATTATCTGCATTTTACAACATTTCGCAACGAAACTTCGGAATATTACTAATTTTGTGATGCTCTTTCGAGCTGTGTTGAAATTTTTGTCTCGACTTTTCTAGATCAAAATTTTAGTTATAAGGGGAAAGGTCCATTGGCGGGGGAGTTGTTGTATGTTGCTAGGGTGGACCCCAGCAGGCCCAGCCCCGCCATACCAATTAGGATATAAATTTTAGACTAAGAAAGTACTAACTGTAGCAGCTCCACTCTGAGAGACTGTGATCCAGGCATGTTTCCTGCTCACAGATTGGTCTCCTGCTATTTGAATTTGGCAATCTAAAATTGTTAAAGAGCCCTCAACAAAATGCAAATTATTTTAATGCCAGTGCTTTCCCATTGACAAGTATCATCAAGACAATCATCTGACATTAGAAAGAGTAAAATACTGTGATAAAGTAGGGTGCATTACAGGCAATGCAATTTAATGGATTAATCATAACTGGCAACTCAGTGCCTATACTGTATATATACCTTTCCGCCCAACTAAATGTTCTCCAACAGTGAGGTAATACAATTTCTCATTTTGTGAGCCTAAAAATAATTATATTGGGAAATTTTGTGATTGGGGGCTGTGGGGAAGGCACACCAATATTAAGAGTTCTCCCTGTTCTCCCCAGAGGGCAAACAGAGGGGGGGGGGGGTGAGTTAAAACAATGTGGCATTTGAAAGTCTCAGGTCCACAAAGCATACTGTTTCCACAAGTGTTAATTTTACACAAGCACTTATTATATTGCCACTGTAGCAATCCACCATCTATTAACCAATGCTGCATTTATAGTGCACCTATCAATGTTAACCCCCAGAGGGGGGGGGGGTCGGGCATATGTGGGGTATTTGATCATCAATTGCATCCCCACCCTGGGGATTTTGATCAGCATTTTGGCCCCAAGTTGGGGCAATTTGAACCAATTAACCTTTATTAATATAGTATTTATTGCAATTTATTGCAAAATAGTGGGGCATTTGACCGATATTTATTGCCCGACGGTGGGGCATTTGATTGAAAATTTGCTCAAAAAGTCAAATGCCCCACCTATGCCCGACCCCCCCCCCCCTCTGGGGCTTAACATTGATAGGTGCATAGTGCTAAATATACTGAAACCAATTAATTCTATGCAATAATGAACATAATTTACCTTGTCCATCTCGTTTTAAGCTCCACATGGAGGACTTTAAGCTAATTCCATCTGTATTTCATTGTGAAATTGTAAATAAATGTCAATTTTTTCATATACAACAGTTACTCCTTGTTTACATCCAATATTTTTCCACTCACTTTTCCCGCCACGTGCATCGCAACCCGCAATGTCTGTTGGGTACTCGTACCCAGGACTTGCGCATATTCACTGAACTGTATAGAAGAGAGGTTGAGGGCATTGAACTATAAATAAACTGGAAGGCTAACTCGGGGGGGAAATTGAAGCCAATGCATTTTAGTTTTTCTGAGTTATGAGCAGAAATACTCAACACTGAACGTTGGGCTATATATCAAATTGAAGCTATTGAAAAACCCTATTTGGTGTAGAAATTTCAAGACTTCAGCTAAAAGGGAAATATTGAAAAACTACAAACATAATTACCGATAATTTGCCGTTTTGCAGTTGTTTTTGTATTTTTTAAATATTTTTCTTTTCGCTGAAGTCTTGAAATTTCCACACCGAATAGCAATTTTCAATAGCTTCAATTTGATATATAGCCCGACGTTTGGGGTCAAGTATTTCTGCTCATAACTCAGAAAAACTATTTTGGCTTCATCAAATCATAGGCCTTCATCATAGCAGTTTAATAGCCTTCCAGTTTATTTATAGTTCAATGGTAGAGGGTTATACCAGACTTTTAACTACTTTTTCCGATGCTAGCCTCAGACAGAATTCCCAGAAACTATTAATAATTTTTTAAAGAACTGTTATAGCGTTCATTGATTCAGCGGGCAAGCTGCAATCTACACAGGGCGTCTATAAGGTGATGTGCAACCAACCCCATGAGATTCAACTATGGACTCAAAGAGTCAAAGGACAAAGCGATTTTCGCCATGTTGCAGAGGCGGCGGAACAGGGGGGGCTAGGGGGGCTAAAGCCCCCCAGAAGTAAAAGTGGGGGGCTAAGCCCCCCCAGAAAATTTTGTTTTCTCTGGGAAAATTTAGACAATTAAGGAAAAATGTAGGTTATTTTTGGAAAATTTAGGTATAAGGGGAAAAATTTGGGATATTTTGTGTAAAAATCGAGTATGTCCGGAAACATTTTTTGTTATAGGTCCGGAAAAATTTTTTTCATCCCTTTTCTTGTATATGTCCGGAAAAAATTTTCTACCCCTAAAATGGTACACTGACCGAAATTTTTTTGGCGACGGGGGGGCGGGGGGTCACGGAAAAAAATTTAGCCCCCCCAAACTGAAATCCGTTCCGCCGCCCCTGCCATGTTGGGTGGTATTTGCATTGCAAACAAGCGAAATCCTTTGTCAATGTCATCCAACATGGCGACGGTGACGTAACTTGCAAGGACGGATTATGGACAAAGAATCGTTATCAGTCCTGTCACGAGAAACATCCGCTATGTCAAAATCTTTCAAAACTATACTAAACTAAACTGAAAAATTTAACGATGTTTGCTTTAATATGCTGGAAAACTTTCCTTTTTGACTTTTTAATATTAGCAAAAAACATATGTCTTGAAAAAACGGACTTTAAAGTAACGTCGCATACATTTAACACGAGGCGCTATGGCCAAAGTGACATCACAACCACCATATCACTGCGGAAAGTCGGGAATAAAAAACAGCACGTAGTGTAAGATTGTGTAGATCTCAAACGTGCTGGATCTCATGTCTCAAACGAATGATGTAATTATGAACTTTAAATGAGAATCTGTGACATGCTGAATAATATCACGAGTTGTAAAGCTACGTGGGTGTTGGGGGAGTGTCAAGGGCTGGATGAGGACAGCATGAGGTAGCCGAGAATAGAAACGTTAACTGCGAATTCCGTAGATGATGTAATAACGTGAAAAAAAACTTCAATGTTTCGAGCAAAAGTTAACTTAACTTCAGACGAAGGGCATTCACACGAAACCTCAAGTTCTTCCGTATAGATATAACCAACAGCCCGAAATTTCGCAATATTTAGTCGCATTGCTAGGTGTTGCTAGGGGGCGTGTTTGGCGGTAAGTTTTAACCCACTGAGAAACCTTTTTAGTTTTTATCATAAGACCCCTCAAACGACAGTTTTAATAAATAAGATTTCCCGCAGGTCCTTTTGTGCCATTCTTTTATTGAGGTAAAAGTGTAAAAAATTTTGGCTTATCTGACAAGCACGGGGGAAAATGGTGTTGCCATTCAAGGGGCGAGAGAGGGGTGAGTCATTGGGTTTGTTAGCCGCGGACAGTAAAACACAAGTTATCACAAATACATAAGTTCTCACAGTAATACACTGAATTATATCAAATTAGCGGAATGTAATCCTGTCTGTAGGCCTAGCCTAATTTCCGACTCAGTTCTTTTACTCAGATTCAATGTATCAAGAATGTTATATAATTCAGTATGCAATGTTACCATTTGTATATTCTTTATTATAAAACATTGACGTTTCTAACCGGCAATTTGGCTATTTTTAATTTCAATTAACCATGGCAACACAGTTATTTGGTTTAAGCGTCTTTTTCTTCCACACGCAATGTCACAATGGGGCAAAAATTACTAAACATTCCAACATCTCATTATGACGTATTTAATAGGACTTAGCTTGTTTGGAGCGTAGATATCTCATATGGTTCGCAGTGAACTAAGTTATGGCATGAAAGTTGTCGTTTTAACCAAATTGCTTCAAGTACTGTTTGTTGTTTGGCAATAAAAGCACAAAAAACCCTCCTCGGCTTTCCGGGGTCGCCACTTTGGACTTTGATCAATAGGCACTAAATGAATTAACCAATCAGAACGGAGCTGTGGAAAGTTATATATAAATTAATTGACACATAGTGTTTATGTCATACAATTTCATTCCACTCATAATCCACGTTGGCAGAATACATTACAAGGGAATAAACTGAGAAATTTAAAGCTCGTAAGTAAACTGTTTAATTTTATTTTTCTAAAACAATTTTGTCATGTTATTTTTTTCATTCACTTAGCCTAGGTTAGCTGTGTAATCTAATTGAATAAAAATGTAACAAATGCTGAATTCTGAAAATACCAAGTGACGCGGAAATATTTTAAATTTATATGCAGCTATGAAAATACTGTAATCTGCCTGGTTTTGGGGGAAATTATGAAGAGAACTTTAATTTAATATTGTGGGGTATATACTGTTTTGTGCTCCCTTTCAAGTGCTTGTAATGAGAAAATGATACTTTGCATGTAAGGACAAAACCACTACGCATATAAATACGGTACTCGAATTCATCGAAGCGTACTATGCAAAACAAAGCGAAACTTCAGGCGAAAAATTGTAACAGAAAAGCACCTGCTTTGATAAAGATTTCGATCTCATTCCTACAAACGTTTTTCGTTAAATATTTGATTGAAGATAAAAAATTATGTAAAAACAGAGTACAACGTAGAACATTCCAAAGTGACATTACGGAAGGCGTCTTGGGGGAGCGTCATTGAAATGATGCACAGTGACGCATTGCAAAGCGAACTTTGACCCCGAAAAATTGACTGTGGGGGGTGGGCATAGGGAGATACATATCACTCTAAATTTTGGCCGCCTTCCTTTATCGAAACAATAGTCTATAAAGCTTTACAGTTAATACATAGCTAAAGCTAAGTCTGAGAATAATGGTTTGGAGAATATATGAATAAATCGTAAATGTCGTTTAATGTTTAATTTGAATGTTTGTGCCACCCCTCCCTGAGGGTAAAATGCAGTCAAGCATCACAGGAACTAATTCTCATGACATTTTGCCGACTCAAACGTTGCGACATTCTCTGCCAAAGTAAAAAATATCTCAAACATCAATACTAGGCGATTTTAACTACTTCTAAAACCATGGCGATGTACAGAAATATACTAAGGTAACGAACGAATGAAAACTTAAATTGTAGTGTAATCGACAAAGGCGGGCGATGTATGTACTTTGCCACGTTTCAAAACGTTTTGTTTATATTCATATGATTCTGTTCCAAAATTATTTTAGATCCACAAATTTGGCTCTGAAGTCGTTTCTGAAACCAACTCATCGGATTATAACTCATCGCGTTCAATTCCAAACGACAATTCAAGCAGCGATGAATGATAGAAGAGTAGAATCGCTTGGTCCTCAACTTCAGGCGTTTATACGCGAAAAGCAAGCGCTTTGTCAGCCAGAAAATATTCACATCTGTGACGGATCGCAGGAAGAAAATGAATATATGGTGAACCAAATGATTGAAAGTAAAATGATGAAACGATTGCCTTTATACGAAGACTGGTGAGGGAATTATAAAAAATTTTGTTACATGTGAAAAATTTGGCATATTGTTTTGAAATCGAACAATAGAACATGCAAAAAAACATAATAGTGTCTCGAACGCGCTATTTATACTATTATAAAATTCCTTTCGTTTTCACTCGTAGTTTCATCGTGCGTACTGATCCTGCGGACGTGGCAAGGGTTGAATCAAAGACGTTTATTTGCACAGACAGACGTGAGGATACAATTCCCACACCGGCACTGGGCGTAGAAGGGAAATTGGGAAAATGGGAGTCGCCAGAAACGATGAGAGAGAAACTTTTCGATGAAAGTTTTGAAAGATTTCCTGGTTGCATGAAAGGTACGTCTCTAACCGGAAGTTGTAATGACCTTTTCTACGAATTTTCCAACTTTAGAGGGACTTTGTGACTGTCAGCTGACAAAATATCTCAACTTGTAATGCACCTATCAACGTTAAGCCCCAGAGGTGGG